GTTACTTTTTTTTCATTTTCAAAATAACATATGACTAGTGCACTACAGACGCAGCTGATTTGGGAGCAATGATAGAAAACAAATATCAAACACTATGAAATTTTATAGTTACAATAAACTTATGATAAACTATTGTATTACAAAATATGAAATACTATAAAACTAAAAACAGTTACATTCAATGTTTCCTCCTAATGACATTTATATTTGTTGAATATTGCTATTTTTTCTTCTTCTTCATTTTCATGGAGAAGCAACTGCACCTGCTACGTATCATGAAAGAATTTCCTTTTAAAGGAAAGAGGATCCTCCACATGTCGTTTTTCATAATCAAGAAGAGGCAGATAGTAAAGTAAAAGAAATGGAAACAGCCGTTATTTACCAGGCCAGCTGGCAAAGAGGCAGAGACAGGCGAGTGGTAATTTAGCAAGCGCTGGAGGAGATGATTCTCTGAAAGCTCTTAAGAGAGGAGGGGGGGGGTGGTTGAGGGGGCAGAGGGAAAGAGAAAGAGATAGGGAGAGAGGTGGAAAAGCAAGAGAGAGAGAAAGGGAGGGAGGGACAGAGAGAGAAGAGAAAGAGAGACAGAGAAAAATTCTTTCACAGAGAAGAGTCTCTCTCTCTCTTTCCCTCTCTCTTTCTCTGCCTCTCTCTTGTTCAGCCATCCAGAATGCTGTGTGCGATTGGGATGGAGATAGAGGGGGGTCTCTCTACAGGGATTGCGGGTGGTGGTCTACTTAATCCACTCACACTTCACTGTCAGGTACAGATACTCAACTCTGAGAGACATCAGCACACACACACACACACACACACACACACACACACATAGACACATCTCTGCGGTGCCATCAGACTGTATATCAGTGGATGCTGTATCTAGCAGAGATGCGACCCATGGGAGAGAACACGTACAGACACACATACAGCAGCTCAAGTGTATTAAGTGTTGGGACTTGTTTTTAGAGTGAGAGTGATGTGATGCAGACCAGCCCATTCCGAACTCTAACTTTATTTCCTTTGCTGCTACTACACACACATAGACATTTAATGTCTTTATTCAGGTCTACAATTTAAAACACATTATAAAAAGCCCCAAATCTTGTCTAAAGTAGTAGTTATCAACACATGCACAAAAAAATGTCAGCTGTGGTTGCACTACCTCACAGTAGAGAAACGTTCGCAGATAAATAAACCACCTTTTCCTCCAAATGTGCCAATTTCCAGTTGTTGAAGTTATGGAACAATGTTTTGCAAGCTGTTTTGCTTTTTTTTTGGAAAAGCCAGATTTTGAAACCCTTTAACAACCAATCAATGGACAAAACCAAGACTTCCACATATAAATACAAGAAGAGTACAGTTGTAGCCATTGATTATTTGTGCTAGTGGCTGGTATTTTAGAATCTCCATACCGTAGACTTCCTCCATAGATGAGTCAAAGCAACAGCCTACTTATACCAGAAACCCTTTTTTATGCTTTTCATCAACAGCTATAACATCAGGCCTATGTAGTCACACTACATGGCCAAAAATATGTGGACACCCCTCCTAATTACTGAATTTAGGTATTTCAGTCACACCCATTGCTAACAAGTTTATAAAGCCCATAGCCATGCAAGCTCTACAGACAAACGTTGGCAGTAGAATGGGTCATACTGAAGAGGTCAGTCACTCACAGAGCACAGCTGTCATGTGCTGAAGCATGTAGTGCGTAAAATATTGCCTATGCATCACTATAGTATGTGTGTTGCATACCTGTAACATTACATCTCAAGAAGCACAGTTGCTAGCATAGTGTCTCATGCCGAGATCAACACTTTGGGAAGATAAGTCTATGGCCAGACCACAGCTTCTGAGGTCAGCTGAGAACCGGTCACTGCTGATTGTGTAATCTTATTGCTGTTTCCACGTTGAATCTAGTTAAATGCTTCTGAAACTACTGAGAACGCATTGTTCTTATGCTACTTATGAACGTGACAGGTGCTGACAGTGAACTGTTGGCTTGAGGTGACTGTGGATAGCAACAGTTGCTTAGCAGTCATTGGATGGCTTAGAAAATTAGGCTGAGCATGGTTTAAAGTGTAATGATTTCATTGGCCATGACAATGACGTGAAAGCACTCACAGAAAACAATTGGCCATGACAATGACGTGAAAGCACTCACAGAAAACAAATCAAATGTCATTATCTTAAAAAAATGCAGCTTAACCCCTTGAAAGGCCAGGGCCCGCCGGCAAGCCCAGAGGTTTATTACACACTTCTGTAACCTAAGAATAGCTCAGCCAGTTTGCATTGAAGTCCCTGTAGTTCCTGAATAATAAGCCTTAATATGTAATAAGCCTGGGATTGTAAGGGGTTCATAATATTATTTTCCCATTTGATTGGGTAGACCTGTGAATGCTGCGCCCCTGAATAGCCCACCACATCATGAGAATGGCACTGTTTTCATATTAAATCTTATGAAAGAAGTGGCAGCAGTTTGGGAAAGCCCATTTCTTGTCCCCACATGACTGTGCTTCTGTGCACAAAGCAAGGTCCATAATGAAATGGTTTGATGAGTTTGATGTGGAGGAACTCCAGTGGTCTGTTCAGAGTCTTGACCTCAACCTCTCTGAACACTCTTCATCTGGGATGAACTGGAACATTGATTGTGAGCCAGGCCTTCTCGTCCACATCATTGTTGGACCTCACAAATGCTCTTTTGACGGAATGGGCACACGTTCCCACAGATACACTCTAAGACGCAAGTAAGAGTGGAGGCTGTTACACATGGAAGGTGGGACCAACTCCATATCAGTGCCCATGGTTTTGGAGTGGGATGTCCAACATACTCATATAGGTGTGATGGTCAGTTGCCCACATACTTTTGGCCACATAATGTATATTAGAAAACGTATACACAGCACAGATTTTGAAACATGTGGGGCGTCAAAAAACAATTCATGCATATAGACACACACAAAAGACAATGCCTTCTTCAAAAAAAAAAGAAGGGAAAAGAAAAGCTGACATAAAATCCATTTTTTATCAGTTTTTACTACCTAGCAGTTCACATAGTGGACAAAGCTTAGTTTTCTGGTTAACCACTGTGTTTATATTACCTTTAATAGCTTAGTAAAGTTTTAATTAACTTATTAAAGTTAATAGCTTTTTCTAACATCCAAGCATTTTCTTCATTTTCTACTCTTATATATTTGCTATTTAAACAACAGAACACAAAAGTGAGTGAGTTACCATGAATAACATCTTGGATGTGGTTTGGCTGCCAGCATGGGCCAAAGGTCATCACAGCTGTGGTGTTATTTGCAATAACACACAACCTCAAGTGTTCTATTGTTTTCACACAGCAGTTCTGCAAAATAAAGAAAAAAGTAAAAAAAGAAACATTGTACCATTGTACTTATTTTCTGTTTATTATATGCTTATTATATGTTTAAGCAGAAAATTAGTAACCGCAGTGTAAAGCGAGTCCTTGCATAGAAACAGGTGCACAGTAGAATCATACAGTTATTGTATGACCACAACTATCATTTTATTTGTTCCATTCTTATTTGCTATGCTGCATTATGTATTCATTTCCATGCAGCTGGTTTTTATCAGTCTAATGGGAAACACACAACTGTAAGCGGTTGCCTGCTTTGCGAGCAGTGAGTGAGCCTTTAATTGCTGGATTGAAAAAAGTTTCTGAAGTACATGCATTACATCTTTAAAAGTTATGCAAGCATTACTTTGAAGCATTTAATAGCTTTTAAGTGGGTAATCCTCAGGAGTTTGCTGACTCAGTTGTTTCTCATGGGTTTATTTTGATTGTGCATTGCAAGAAATTATGTCTTGGCAAGTAAAATGATCTTAAATGTAGTTAATATATCTAATATTTATCATAATGAGTTTGTTGTAGAAATATTTAGCTTATTTCTAGTTGTTTTATCATTGTTTTAAGTAATTTTATCCAGAGAAATTGTCATTTTTATAGGCAGATAATTTAGCTTCTTTTAAGAATGAATTTTTGAAACAAAATGATCAAAAATTAGCAAAATTATGTGCCGATAGAATCATTTTACTAGATAAAACAACTTAAAACAAGTAAACATGTCTAGAATTAGGCCGACTAACAGTATTCTTACAGCAGACTTATACTAAGAAATATTAGACATATTGATCAGATCTAAGATGATTTTGCTTGCCAAGACATACATTTTTGCAGTGTAAATCTGTTATAAAAATCACTTCTTACATGTCATTCTAAACAGTGGTCTGTGTTTTGTTTTGGTTTTGCATGTCAGTCAAGCTTTTCTTTTCAAAGTAGATGGTCACATCAGGTGACAAAATGAACCAGATTCTTTGACGATATAGGCAGAAATCTTGCTTGCAAGCCTAATCAGCTAGCAACAAAACAGAATGCACACACTCGTTTTCACAAGTTTTTCAAGTGCTCCAGTACCCCCCCCACACACACACAGCATAAGCCTCCCCAAGACACACAATCATTTAACATTCTAATGCACAAAGAACAAAAGAACACGTATACACGCACACGCACACACACACACACACACACACACACCTATCCAGCCCCGTCTGTGAGCTCTTCACTAACCTCACATTAAAGCATTGTTTCACTGCTCGACTGGTGCAGCTCTCACACACAATAAGCTGGCATTTCTAATCTGGTATTATAGTGTTTGTGTCACACCTCTCTGGCAATCACACGCAAACAGTGCCACTACTCCCTCCTAAAGCTGCACAGGAGTGTCTGTGTGTGTGAGGCTTCCTTTCTTCACAAGTGATTCGTATTCTGTGAATGAACAGGTGTCACACTGTCCTGGCTTTATCTCTCCCTCTCCCTCTGCTGGAGCAGCGGTCTCACAGGGAGAGAGTGAGTTACTCCCAGTTAGATAAGCTGTGCTCTGTTCATAAAGTAAAGAAATAAAGACACGTTTTATGATCAAAAATCTCTGTCTCTCTCTCTCTCTCTCTCTGTCTCTCTCTCTCATTTCTTTCAGTGTTAAGCCAAGGAAAGGTAGTCTTCCCCATAAGCACTGGGTTGGAGCAATGACTCACGGGAAATGTAGGCCATGTCCTGTTGTTCATCCTAACCCAGTCTGTGGCTCAGATGGACATACATATGCCTCAAAAGTAAGTTTATCTTCGCCATCATCGTCATCATCATCATCATCGTCATAATCACCATCATAATTGTCCATCACATTGTCATCACTTTTATTACCATCACAACCATATCATCATCATCACCACTATCACCAACACCACCATCACCATAATCATCACAACCATCACTATAATTACCATCATAACCATTACAAGCATCACCACCATCATCATTACCATTGTCGTCATCACATCATAATAATCACCACCACCATTATCATTATTGTCACCATTGTCACCATTATAATCATCACCATCATAATAATCACCACTACCATCATCATTATGAACATTACCATTGTCATTATCATCATTGCTATTATCTCCATCATAATGATCACCATCACCATAAGAACTATCATCATTGCCATTATCACAATTGCTGTCATCATCAAAATCACCATCATCACTATCATAATCATCTCCATCATCATCAAAATTACTATCAGTAGCACAATCAACATTATCTTCAAAATGACCATCACAAGCCTCATCATGACTATATGCCATTATCACTATCATAATCTTAACCATCATAATAATTACCGTCATCACCGTCATAACTATCACCATTGTCAAAATTACTATCAGCAGCACAATCAACATCATCTTGAAAATGACCATCATCATCATCATCATAATCTCCATCATAATCAAAATGACCATCATTGTCATCTTCACTATCATCTTTACTCATGTGCAGCACACTTCTCAGATTGAAATGTTGCGAAAGTTAACACCAACTTAAAATTCAAGGGATTACTGAAGCATTCTGGTAAAGCATGACTCAGTATGGATTAGTTTTAGCAGAGGAGATTGTTTCATGTAATTTGTCAGGATTTGAGTGGTCATAACTCGTTTGGGATAAAGTATCTGTGTAATTCCCCACATTACCACTGTGAACCCAGATGTACGACGGTGCCACATCTAGTAACAATAACAACACAACACTTCATGTGTGTTATCAGGTTTTGCTATTACAGTAGCATGAAGTGAATTTAAACAGGATTACTATTTCTGAAGCAGCTCTGAGTTCAGCTAATTATAGAGGGCCATTCAGTCTGGAATTAGTAGTGTCAGACTGGTAAAAACTACAGACATTACAGATTCGTATTGGATTACAATCACGGATTTTGTCAGTAATCACTTCAATTACAGCACCTCCCCAGGTAGAACTAATCCAGCTCGAACAGGGTTTAAGAAGGTGTTACACACGACCAAGAAAAGTCACCTTGGACCAAACAAGTGTGAGAAATTTGCAGATGGAAGACTGTGCTCAGTCTGGTTTCTTTATTTGGAGTAATTACAGCACAGAAAATCGTTTGATCCGGCAGTGCATAGCTGACTATGAGTCAAACATTTATTTAACAGCGGGAGTCCTTGAACTGTCAGATTCAGAGACAGGCTGCAGTGTGTGTGTGTGCTAGTGTTTGTGTGTCTGTGTGTGTGCGTAGGTGTGTTTGCGTGGTTGTGAAGTGAAAAGCAAGTGAGCGGAGGTCATTCAGTGTATTAGTAAAAGTGGGACACTTTAGCTTCACCTTTGACCTCTTGAGATGTGAATCAACAGCCTAAACCCAAAATCAAACTTTAACACCTAGCCATTTCTCTCCCTCTCTCTCTCTCTCTACCTCTCTCTCTCTCTCTCTCTCTGATTCTGTAGCAGTGTGTGTGTGTGTGTGTGTGTGTAAATTGTTCAGTCATTGGTGATGGATGATCGGGTAGATGAACTGTGTCCGCTGTCGCTATTGGATTCTCGAGTTTGTGCGCTTTTCCTTCCCTCTCTCGCTCTCCCTCTATCCCTCTTTCCATCCGTCTCTCGCCTCTCCAATTATCGCTCCCTCCATCCCTCTGTCACCTCTGCTGTAGACTGGGTAAAGTCCTGCAGGGAATAAACACAGAGGAATGGAGGGGCACCTGCTGCTACCCTCTAGCCAATCATTATACACATACATTTCCCTCAATCAATCCAAATACACACATGCACAACTCCATTGTTAAAACACACACACACACACACACACACACACCACAATAATTGTTGTGAGCATATTATTAACATATAAATTATTTTATATTTACTGTATAAGTTCCTCAGCAAACTAAAAACAACCGCTAGTTTAAATTTAAACAATAGGAAAAAAAACGATTGACCGAGCTGAACAAGGTTTACAGAAAAGACAGCATAGTGATGGTGAATTTACAAAGCTGAATTTGGCTTCTTATTCACATTTTTTATTCTACCTTAAATGGTGCAGCAGTTAAGTGCCAGAATGTTACTGTTCTACCGTTTAAAGGTGCAGTGTGTAATATGCAGTGGCATCCAGCGGGGAGGTTGCAGATTGCAACCAACTGAATACCCCTCCCTCACCCCTCCCTTTCCAAGCATGTAGTAGAACCTATGGTGGCAGTCAGGTTTTCTGCTGTTGCCTGTCATGATTTTGTTTTGCTTCTTCATGTTTTCGCTTCTTTGACGACGACAATACACCCTCTTTTGCTTTTTGTTGTGCTAAATGATAAATATGATGCTCCATTTATCAAAATTTGGGTTCTCAAACTTTGCACAACACAATATGGTTAGCCAGCACTGGCAGGTGCTTCAACCTAAAAATGCAAAGGGCACTATTTAGAGGCCATGTGTCACACAAGGTCCACGGGCCAAGTGAGGCCCATGACACAATCCTATTCGGCCATGAAATTATTTTAATGTTCTATTAATATTGACTAATTTCACCATAAGCTGCACTACAATGCCCATCATGCACTGCAATATAATTTAGCTAAATACGGGCTAGCAGTTACACAAAAAGAAAAGATGATGTTCAAGCAAATAGGCAGTTTTAAAAACCTGGTTAATCTCCTGATTTGTTAATCTATTTAAAATTAATTTTGAATAGTTCAAAAACATAATGATTCATAGTTACAGCTGATTATACATAAATGAAAACATGCTTTTGTACACTATATTCCATTTTGGTTAGTAGATCCCCCTAAATCTTACATACGTTCCTTTAATGGCAAATTCAAATATGAAGCTGATGAATAAAAAGTTAACTTCCAAGAGCCTTGTGGTGAATGTTTTACCTGCAGAAACCATTGAAATCATTCAAACAGAGAGAGCTGTGTTTCTTTTGTTTAACTAACATGAGGAAAAATTTCAGCTGCTAAGTTTCTGTGTGAAGAGTGGAGTTTCAGCGTGTTGATGCTATTGATGCTTCACTTGTTTCTAGCTTATGGAGGCAAACTTGAATTGTAACGCTTCACTTGTCTTCTGAAGTAAAATAAGCCAAGCGTAAGCACAATAACAGACATTTGATGATGTTGCTGTATATTAAATTTATGACGGGAAACACATTCACATTAAAAGTAACTGACTGTGTAGAGTCCCATTGCAGGCAGTGGCCTCTTCGCGCTCCTGCCACTTTGGGTCTCGAGTCTTTCTGAGTCATAAGTCCAAGTTACAGTCTGAGTAAGTGGTGTTCAAGTTGAGTTACAAAACTTTTTTGATTTTGTCAGGTTGTATCTCAAGTCATCAAAATTGAGACTCACTCTGACTCGAGCCGAGTCATATGACTCGAGTCCACACCTCTGCCTCCTACTGGAGATCTACTTTCCTGTACATTTCACCTCTGAATTGAAACTAACATGCCTCGTTCGGCTAATTAAGGACTTCTGAAGACAATCATTAAATAGGTCAGTTGGGGTCCAATAGGGTCTGCAGGAAAGTCGGTCTCCAGGAGCAAGACTGGTGACCAAGGTTGGTAAAGCTTTCATCTTTGAGAGAAGAAAATCAAGCTCTACTCTTGCTTCAAATATGAAAAATCCACAAATGTCTGTCCATTCTTGAGTCCAGACCTCAACATCATTGCATGTGTTTGGGATTATTTGGATTGTGAGAACCAGAAAATGCAACCAATTTCTAAGACTTCTTTGATTTCTTTGAAAAACTGAAATCAAGTCTCCTCAAAGAATGCAAAGGGTGGACACTGAAAAAATGTATAGTATATTTAGTTGTCGAGGCTTCTGTGTTATTTTCCTAATGCTGAAAAATGAAAAAGTTGTACTTTATGGCCATTTTGACAGGAAATGTAACAAATGAAGGGCGGTCTCTGACGGTGGTCTCTACACACAGTACTGTATGTAAATACATGTATGTAACTAAGCATTTTACCCTAAACTTTATCCTCAGTAACCAAAAAGAAATACTTTAGCCCTCTTAGTGTTAAAACATTTAACATGTAGCTTTTGTAAACAGCACTTTACTCATACAGCCACACCACAGCACCGATTATCACACAGCCACGGGTCTTTAATCTCCTCTCCTCTCTCATGAAATCAAGCAGGTGTGCTTTAATTCACCATGTAGAGTACCTGCTCGCAGGCAAGTAGGAGATGAGGGTGGGATGGAAAAAAGACAAGGAGGGGTGTAGCGGTTAGAGAGAGAGAGAGAGAGCGCACGTGCCAGGTCTCATCAGGGTGCTGCTGCATGCTGGATCCAGTTGTGGGAATGAAGGATGAAAGGAAGTGAGCGATAGAGAAAAGAAATGAGGTTTAGAGGGATAAAGACAGGCGAGGATGTTTGGTGTAGCAGAATTTGGTGTTCTTTTCTTTTCTCCTCAGCAGCGCTGGCTGCTGTTCATGCTTATGGAGCTTAACTGTATTCAGTTTGTGTAATTGATCTAATACTGTTACACACACACACACACACACACACACACACACACACACACACACACACACACACACACATCCAGTCTCTCTTTCTATCTCTACCTCTCTCTCTCTCTCTCTCTCTCTCTCTCTCTCTGTCTCTGAGGCTCTCTTGCTCTCTTTCTTTCTCTTCCTCTTGCTCTCTCTATGCCTTTCTTTCTCTCATTTTCTCTCTTTTACTCATTGCCCCTTTTTGTTTCTCTCTCTCTCTTTTATTTCTATTCTCTTTCTTTCTTTCTTTCTTTCTTTCTGACTCACCT